ACAACCCTATCTTAGATAGTGGGGCAAGGGCAGATATCTCAAATCCTAAGGCTAGGGATTCTCAAGATCCAAATGAGAAGAATCAATGTAGCCAGAGTTTTGAAACCCAAAGAAAGGAGAAGAATTCACAAAGAATCTTAATTCCAATTGAAGATATATACCCATAGAAGATTCAAGACATCTCTATGATATATGTTGGTACAAAAGAAAATGACCAAATCAGTTCCATCTTTCAAGGAAGTGCAATGGGTGACCCACATGAGGCTCAAGTCATCCATGAGCTCAACCGAGATCCCGAAGCAAGGGATTCCCAATACTACATTAGTGAGGAAGGCCTTAATCTTGAAGTGTCATCCAAAAATAAACAAAGGAGTCAAGCCTAAAGGATTTAATTGAACCATCCCCTAAGGTGGCCCCAAAAGAATATCCATCCTCTCAAGAATGAATGAAAGAAATGAAACTTCTAGAAATCCTAAGGGGCCCATCTGGGCCACCTTCATCTGAATTTTTGTGGACCCATCTATTTGGGACGAAGTGCTGAGCTAGAGGTTGATGTATCAGTCAACACAAAAAAAGTGAAGAATCAAAACTTGATTGTCCCAAAGATTCAACATCTATGCTAGAGTTAGAAGAAATAGAACCCTTAGAAGCTCTAAGGGGATCACTTGGGCATCTCTCACAAGATTTCTTGGATGATCCACCGATATAGGATGAAGAACCCCAAAAATAAGAGAGGGGCAAACTTCACTACTTGGGGCACCCCACATTCAAGAGGAAAAAGAAGATCTATCTAAGGCAACCTCATCCGCCAGCTTAATAGGGATCGCCCCATATGATGATATAGAAATTATCCCATCCGACATACAGATAGGGATGGTCTCATCCAATGGAGAAGACTCTACATCGGAAACCACACTAATTACTTGGTAGATGCACCTCCATCCCATATTGAGAATATAAAACGGGCAACCGGTGAGGCCCACGCTTTATCCAACGACTCGCAACAGACCTCGAGGTGATATACTCCCGAAGAGCATCATGAAGTTGCAATTGAAAAAGATCACCGAAAAGGTGTGAGGTGATCACACACTCTTTCCTTTCAAATAAGCCAAGTGGGGCATTCATGTTCTGCTTAGCATCCTACTCTATGGCATTGACAACTTAAGGAGTCAAGAATAAAAAAAAAAGTAGAAAATGAGTTTAGCCGATGAAGCAAGAGATTGAAGGACTAAGAAGCTGACAATGACTCCAAGTCTGAAGATAAGGTTCGAGTGAAACAATTTAAGGAATAAAAAATATGAATTTAGCAACTTTGTCAAAGAAGTATTGTATACCAACCAAGGGTAAGGTAAATCCAAAGATAACAAATATGAGAATATACCTACTACATGAAAGAATTAAAGATGATTGAGTTCACATATGTTTATAGGACGAAGCGTCACAAAAAGGAAAAACACCACTGACTCTTCTTGTTCTCCTCCTCTTTCTTCATCGTCTTCAAAAGAGAAAAAAGAGAATAAATTTCTTCTGGCTGAAAGACCATTAGGCTAAACACCCGAAAGAAGCCCTAGGGCCAAAAAAAAAAGAAAAAAAAACAAAAGAAAACAAAACAAAATGATAAAGGAACTCCACCAGGTTGAAAATCTGAAAGGAATCTCGAGCATTGAAAAAAAATTATCATTGAGCTAAACACCTGAAAGGGACTCCGAGGCGACAAGAAAAAAAAGTTTCTCTATCTTTTCATCTCTTCTCCAATGCCTCAAAAAACTCTTCTTTTCCCAAGTCAGAATGGTGTCAAAGTGAAAGAAATATGAAAGGCATTAGTCCAAGTAAATTTGAAGAACCTCGACTATCTGAACTTCAAATGGTAGGTAAGTGGATGAACAAAATTGTATGTCGAAGAAGATTCTGAGCACGTAGGGGAAATATCCCACATTATCCAAGACATCGGCTTGCTCAGAATCTTAAAGAGAGACTCTCCCTTGGGTTGTGTCACAAAGAGCTAAGATTGAATGATGAAAAGTACTCAAGGATTCGTTGTCCTGAAGCAGAGGCTCGACAAGCTCATACTTGAAAGAAAAAAAACTATTAATCCCTAGTCTACTTAGGGATGCCAAAAAAAAAAAAAAAATTAGAAAAAACCTGAAAAAAAAGTGAAGAAAAAGAAGATGCAAGTCTAGTGAATCCTGCATCCACTAGAAAAGAAGAAGAAGAAGAAGAAGAAAGAAAAGACTCAAAAAAACAAGGGCAAGGGCAAACTATCCCAGGACACAAAAAAATGAGAAAACAATCGGAAAAAGAAGAAATCAAACATCCGACATTTGGAAGAAAATGAAATCAGTTTTGAAAGAATTCCAAAGCAGTCAAAGCAAGTCCACCACTGTGACCGACACATTCTCATACTCCTTTTTCATCAATCATCTTTGAAGAACTGTTGCAAAAATCGGGCAATCTAATCGCTAACCACTTAGTTAGATTGGAAATGGCCAGTGGCCAGTTCTGGTTTTGGGCAGTTTTGGTGATCGACCGGTATTAAAAAAAAAATACAAAAAAATTTATATAAATTTTAAAAATAAGGAATTTGGTTTGTAATGTATTTTTTAATATTCTTTATATTATGGTAGAGATTAAAAATTGTTTTTGTCATTAATACTTACTTCAATTCAAAAATCGATTCGTTAAAATCCATATTTTCATTAATTTTCAACTTCATTTGAATGTGTTTTGTTTTGATCATCCTTTATATGATTTTCATATTTTAGTAGATATTTTTTTGTATTTTTATATTTTTCAACACTTTTTTGACCGCTCGGTACTTCCCCGGTTAGAACGGTTGAATTGGTCGGTTTACGATTAGGCTGGTTAAACCGCTTCTAAGCCTATGTCCGGTTGACCGTTCCTGTTCGATTTTGCAAATAATGGTCCTAGCCTTGTAGACCCTTAAAAAATACCTCAAATTTGACCCAATTTGGTTTCAAATTAAATAGAAAACTTTGTGGCAGCAACGGACCTTACCAAGGGTGAAAATGACAGAGTGGGAGGCTCTGTCAAGCATACACTAGGCTTGGGGCAAAAGTATGGTTTAGAGGACATGGTGTAGGACAACTGTTTCATGAGGGTGATAGAGTTCAGACAAAGGAGCCATGTACCCCTTGCCTTACAAACAAAAGGGTGTGTGTGTGTGGGCTATGTGGAACATGCAGAAACCTTAGAGTCAAAACAATCTATTAAGAAGCTACTAGTCCTATATGGACTTGTGCTACTTTAGGCATCTCTCCTAGTGAGTCCTACATGAGAGAGTTGGACACCTTCAATGTTGACCAAGTGAGAGGCTAGTGTGGCGTGCTGACAGACGTGCACACCCATATGGGCTAGCAGCTAAGGGCCCTTAGTGTGAGGGTCGCTGAGACAAACATCTTGAGGCTTGGTTGGTTAGAACATGAGCAGGATAACCTGACTTAACATAGGCATCGACATCGTGAAATAGGTACTTGATCATACACATGGAATAGGTATAATAATCTAGACCAAAGGAATCGAATTTGAAATGTGAAACTGCCACAGACTAAAGCTTTTCTAAAGGGTACTGATGGAATGAGCTAATTGGGTGTAATGAGCCTTGAAAACACTATATATGTTTGAATTGGGATGCATGCACATCAATTACCTATGGAGTGGGTTGAACAAATTCACAATACGATGTGGAAGGTCATTGATGGATGGTGTGGGCTGGTGTAACTGTCATAGCTAATGGTGGTGTTAAGGTGGTGTTAATGGAAAATTTAGTTGTGGGTAAGTGTGTGGGGGCACATAAACCCCTTGCCCAAATATTTTGTGGGGTATTTCTTATTATATAAAAAATGTATAGTACAATAAAAGCGATTCACGGCCCTTTATCAATAGTTTGTGTGCGACTGGTGTGGATGCTTGCTCTATTCCTCCAGTGTGGTTTGAAGAAGGATGGGCTGATCATAATCTAGTATGACTTAGGCGTGGCGTACTTTTGGCTAAACATGGGGAGCTTCCTCGAAGATGCGCTCGTTACCCGCCGCAACGGCAATTTCTTTTCTTGATTCCTTTACTTTATTCCATTTATCTATATATATCTTAATGAAAATTCAACTAATGCACTCAAATTCCACGCGCGCATCTCTATTCTCAAATCAAATTATCCAGCGTGACAATTCAATCTACTACAACTTATTTTAATAGGTTCCCATATCATATAGGGTGTGGTTTGTATGGGGCCTATGCCCTAAACAATCGAAGTAAGGCGCACCTACAAATAATTTCGAAAGATGTTGTTTAAGTGCTAGAAATCCTTATAATAGTTTAAAAAGTTATTTTTATTTTTAATTATGAAATTTGAAGCTTCAAAACAGTATAAATCGAGCAGTTCTATGAACAATTGAAAATCTTGAAAATTGATGGTCTAGAAAAAATATTACAAGATGCACTATTTTGAAGACTTGAAATCCATTTTTCTTGTTTCTATATATCTTAAGGTCGAGATGATCGATTATAGGATGTTTGGGCATCAAAACTACATCTTATAGTGAATTTTTTATTCGCGCCTCGTTTAGAGCCTCATCCTTATATAAACTTTTTTTCTACTCAATATAAATCTAAAAAAATTAACAAGTAGCATTGAACGGCTGAGATGCAAAGTTGGGGCTTCTCAAATCCCACCCGCGTGAACTACCGCCTTAAGCTTCCAGGCGCAAAGGGACCATGTGATACCGGTCCGCACGCGTGCCAATCCACATAGAAAAATATTCAACCGAAGTTTCCATGGAAAACCCCCTTTCACGCGTGGAGGCCGTCCTCCAACGCCTATAAATTCAATATCAGCCGCCATGCCTCATGTCTCGTTCCATTGCAGGCCCCAAATTCCATCCAAGTCCCTCCACGAAAAAATCCAGAATTCCAGCCCGTAGATCCGTTTCGAAAACCCCTTCTATCCGGATCCATGGCTGATGCTAAGGGAGCTCATTTTAATGGTGCCTATTATGGAGCACCTCAAGGAGTCACCGTCCCTCCTCCTCAAGCTTATCATAGGCCACCGAGAGGCAAGGGTTGTGGCCCTTGCTGTATTCTTACTGGTTTGATCAAGTTGGCTGTCGCGATCGTGGTCACACTGGGTATCGTTGCCCTAGTTGTGTGGCTCGTCTTGCGCCCGAACAAGGTCAAATTCTATGCCGAAAATGCATCCTTGACACAGTTTAACCTCTCTGGGACAAACAACCTCCAGTACAACCTGCAGTTGGATATAAGCATTAGAAACCCGAACAAGAGGATCGGGATTTACTACGATAAGGTTGATGCCATGGCTTATTATGAAGGTGAGAGGTTCGGTTGGGCTCCCTTGCCGGCCTTCTACCAGGGCCACAAGAACACTACGGTGATCCAACCCAAGTTCACAGGACAACAACTCTTGCTTTTGAACAGCCATGAAGTCGCTCAATTCGGACACAGCACATCTCAGGGATTTTTCTATATCGATGTTAAACTATACTTGAGGGTCAGGTTCAAGGTTGGATCCTTTAAGATCAAGACCAAGCGTTTCTCACCAGAGATTGAATGTGATCTAAGGATCCCTCTGGGATCCAATTCCACCACTGGGTTCAGCAGGAAGAGATGTGACATTGACTATTGGTGATTGTTCGACTTCTTGTGGTTTTTAGCTATTCTTTAATTATTTTTTTTTTTTGCTTTACGTTTTGGTTTTATTGCTTGATTCCATGTCTTCTATTGTCATTTTGTCCTTTTCCTATGCACATTTTTGTAGTATTGGGCCAGGTTTCCTTGTATATTCCCTTGGTTATAATAAAATTGATATAGTTGTTTTGATTACTCAGTCAAGGAAGGGATTTGTTTTGTTTATTAAGTAATGAATTCAGCATCTACTTCTCGATTTTAATACAAGTAAGCTCTTATTTTTTTATTGCAAAATGAGTTGAACATAGCCGTGTAAAATAACCTCGTCAATGAGTACGTAAATACCTCCCTCTTGGAAGATGGGTTTTTAAATGGTTTATGAAGAAGCTAATTTAGTTCATCGCTCAAGAAATAAAGGATACTTCACAATGTTGACATTGGGTGCAGGAGTTGAGCAAGAATTCAGGAGTTGAGCAAGAATTCTATCGCCTTGAGGGAATATATTCTAAAGAAAATCTTCATATTTTCTATTTTTAGGTTTCATTTAACAATACACTCAAAGTTTTAAAAGATATCTTGAGGCATAAAAATTGTAGATTTTATTTTTTCTAGCCCACTAAGCTAAACAAATCTAAAAAGACATATTTTCCAAACGTCATCCTCCTAAATTCTCTCTCTCGGCACCCATTTTCTCTCTCCGCCTTTTCCATCTCGCCCTCACTCTCTCTCCTCTCGTTCTCTCTCTCTTCACATTTCCAAAGAGTGAGAGACGTAGGAAGAGAGAGAACGAGAGAAGTTTGAGGTATATAAGTGAAGAGAGAGAAAAGATTGAGTTGTATTTCACGGAAGTGAAAAGTTATCGAAAGGAGAAAGAAGTGTTTGAAAAACATCAGAGGAGAAAGAGAGTGAGAGATGTAAGAAGAGGGAGAAAGAGAAAAGTTTGGAGTAATATAGGATATAGAGATATTTTTCCTATATTCTATTAGGTGCAGTTTGTATAGAGCCGAGGCTCTAAACAATCAAAGTTAAGCACACCTTCAAATAATGTTGCTAAATGTGGTTTTATGATCGGAAATCTTTGTGATAGCCTCAAAATATATTTTTTATCTTTAATTATAAAATTTAAAGTTTCAAAAATAATGTAGATCCAGCAGATCTATGAAAACTTAAAAATATTGAAAATTGACTATCCAAAAATACGTTATAATATGCACTATTTACAAAACTTGAAATCTATTTTTTTTCATGTCTATATATCTTGATATTGAGATGATCAATTTGAGGATATTTGGGTATCAAAACAACCTCTTCTAGTAAAGTTTTTTAGGTGGGCTCTAATTTGATTGTTTAGAGCGTCTGGCTCTATAAAAACTTTTTCCCTTTTATAATTGGATGTGATTTAAACCCGGGAAGTTGTAGACATCCATAGGTGAGGGAATTTTAGAAATCTAGAATTCCTGAAAACCATGGAAACCTACCCTAAAGCCTCCCTGAACCCATTGCACACAAATCCCAATTTTTTGCCTATCCAAATAACCTATTTCTTCAAGCCTAAACTACGCTAGGGACCAACTACACTTATACAAACTAATGTACCCTACTCCCATACACTATACAGCCCACCGTACACAATAATTAAGTAAAGCCTAGTTAATTATGCCTAAACCCATTTTGTACATATCTACTCTAAACCCTAGATTTGGATTCAAAATCTGTAATTGAACTCCTAATCACCTTTGACTAGCCTAATCACACCCAAACCTGTCTGACTCGTGAAAAAGAAGAATAAATTTTTTGAATATTTAAGTAAAACCCTTAAAGTGCCCTATTTTTATGACCGGGCACTTGGAATGGGGGACAAGTGGAAAGAACCTGCTACCTGTATGGGCCCAATGACACAGGAATTGGCCAATTGACGCACACCGTGCCGCTGACGGATGGATGGCAAGCATTGAGCCGACATCCTCCCAGGCCCGTTACGCCCCATTTTTCTTATAATAGGTCCATTTTGAACCTATTTTGCGGCTAGATTTTTTATTTTTTTTTTGCTCCCGGTAAATAAACAGTAGAGATTTGGGCGCCGACCTTTTGATGAGACTTATATCATTCGGAACAAGATTTTCTTTACCGATATCGAACCTCTGAACCGAATCCCCAATACTGGCCCTAGAACCCTAATTCGACCTAAACCTAGCCCTAGGTTTCCCATTCCCTCCTGGGACCACAGTAAATTGAACTCATCTCTTAGACTCTACCTGCAACCTCTAAGAGCCCCAAACGGAGACTAAGAACCATCAAAGTTGTACTATAGACTAGTATGGTCCATATTCACCTCAAACGACTTCCTCTACGCCTTCAACAACTCGGATTTGAGCATCTCTGCCTCACAACTCAGAAAGACAATGGGAACAAACCCTTCACACTCACTACTCTGACTTGGGCCGCCAAAGCTGGGTGCGGGCTTCTGGCCAACTAACGAGTAGGCCCAGTCTTTTCTCTTTTATTTTCTTTCAATTTTCTATTTTTTTATTAGTTTTTTGCTGCTCCCTTTTTTTAATACATAGTACTGATTTCCCAGATATTTTAAAAAAAAATTCTAAAATCTTTTGGTTTTGAGGTGAATCATAACTGGTGCGACTAGTCGACCACCAAAGAGGAGAACTTGAGATTGTTTTCCTTTCATGGTACATAATTTGACTGAAACCTCATAATCTACCCCCGATCGATGGAGTTTAATTGTAAAACAAGGCAGAGATTACGTTTCTCTTCCAAAATTTCACATATAAACACGAGTCTTGAAAGTTATGTAAGATTAGATAGTAAAATTTTTCTCATTTTATTTAAAATTTTTGCTTATACAAACAAATATTTTTCTTAAACTTTTCAAATTAAACTTATAAGATTACTTTTTCAATCAACTTATAATTTAATTATTCAAGTCTCTTTATAGGCTTTTTCTTTTCTCCTATTGCATATATACTTTTGAGTAATGACTTGTATTCTAAAGAAACTTTAAGTAAAGTTAAATGAGTAAACATAGCATGATGTATCTTACTTTAAAGGATAAACCTTCCGATAGATCTAGACCCAAAATGAATAGTAGTCACCATATCGTGATTGAATGGTTGAAAATACATATCACCATTTAAAATTTAATATTTTTTACACAAATTAGTTTCAACTAAAATTGTGGACATATATACTTGACACTAGTTTACACCGTATAAAAATATATAACATATTTTAAGAAATTTAAAATGATGAAATTACTCCCATCATTTTAAGGGTATCTTGGTCATTTTAAATTTTATAAAATATCTTTTTTATATTTCTTGTGCCCTATTTTTTATTACACATGCCCAAAATTTAATCTCAATCCAATTTGTTAAAAAAAGACTAAAATTCAAATAGCTATATGTATTTTGAACTATCTTATCAATGACTGAGAGCAGGACCTGTGCTATTATTCATTATAGGTCCACAACTATTGTTACCTTTTTCCTATTTTAAAATGGTCAAAATTTTCACCACAATACGGAAAGCAAAATCAAATTTTCAGTGTCGTTGCCACTGAGCAATGGAAATTATTTTTATATGGCATATGATAGGACAATATAGATTATTTTTAGGGTGTGGTTTGTATATAAGGCTGATGCCATAAGCAATCAAAGTAACGCGCATATTCAAATGTTGAAAGATATTATTTTAGGAAGATAGAAAGAGAGGGACCAGTGGCCGGGCGAGGACAAAGAGGGAGATGCGATGGGGGAGACGATAAGGGAAAGGATAACAAATAAACGAGAGAAAGAGAGAGCTTAAGACATGAGAGAGAGAGAGAGAGCGAGCAAGAGCAAGAGAAGATAAGAGAAGAGGGAGAAAGAAAAGAGAGCAACCGGGATGGAAGAGAGGAGAGAGGAGAGGGAGCAATAGAGAGAGAGAAGAAGAGAGGGACCGAGAGGGACCAGAAGGGAAGAGAGAGAGAGGAAAGAGAAGAGGGAGGGAAGGAGGGAGAGAAAAAAAAGAGGGAACAGAGAGGGACGGCAGCCTGGCCACCGGTCCGAGGGGCAAAGAGAGAAAAGAAGAAAAGGGGAAGAGAGAAAAGAGAGCGACTGATGGCCTGGCTGCCAGTCAGAGGGGGAGAGACAAAGAGGAGAGACGAAGGAGAGATAAAGAGAGGGACCGACAGCTTGACTGCCAATCCAAAGGGGAAAGAGAGAGAGAGCGAGAGAGAAAAGAAGAGATGAGGGAGGGACCGAAAGGACTGGTGGCCTGGACGCCGGTCCTAGGGGGAGAGAGACAGAGAAAGAGAAGAGAAGAAAAGAGGGAGAGAAAGAGAGGAACCGAGAGAGAGAAAGAGAGAAGAGAAGAGAAGAGGGAGAGAGAAAAGAGAGAGCCAGGCGGCTTGGTCACCGGTCTGAGGGGAGAGAGAGAGAGGAGAGAGAGAGAGAAGAAGGACGACGCGACGAGGACGAGAGAGAGAGAGAGAGAGATAAGAGGAGAGAGAGAGAGAGAGGAAGAGAGGGGACTGACGGCCAGGTTGTCGGTTCGAAGGAAGACGACAGAGAGAGAGAGAGAAACCGAGCGGAGAGAAAGAGAGATGAGAGAGGACGAGAGAGAAAAGAGGAAAGAAGAGAGAGAAAGAAAGAGAGAAAATGATAGAGAAAGAGAGAGAAGAGAAAGAGAAGTAAAGTAAAAAGTACCCAATATGAACCGTGGGTTCGGACCCAAGGGCTAAGTTGGTCCTAACCTTCTTGGGATGCTCATTGAGATGGATTCGGTTCTTAGTGTAAAAAACTAGGGTGCAAGATTAGAGCTTATGGACTAGGGAGTACACTAGGGTGTGTGGAAGAAGAGATTATGGAAGTTGGCTCTAGGGTGTATGGAAGTAAAGACTATGGAAGTTGGGTCTAGGGCGTAAAGAAGTGAGGACTATGGAAGATGGGTCTAAGGTCCAAGGGACTATAGAAGATGGGAGTGAAGGGTTCTAGGTTGGAAGTGAGGGGCTCTAGGGGTAATCTTTAGTAGGTGAAAGTTTTCTCTCTCCTCTCTTTGGGGTAAATAAGGTAGAATAAAAATCAAAGCCAAAAGGGGCAAGCTCAATGATTTTTCATTAATCTCTCCAACCTTTCCAACTTTGAAAACTTTGGGTTACAAATGCCTTAAAATTCTTATATATCCACCCCTTGAAACAAGGGTGGATGACCAAAAGCAAAGAAGATTGTCAAATATTACATTTTTTTTTTTTAATTAAACGTGAATCCGTTTTTGGACAAAATGATAGTTTTGCCCCTAGCCAGAATCGTGAAAATTACCAAAAGGTCCCCAAAAAAGGTTCCGTAGGCCATAACCATGGTTTGAGGCCATTTTGGAGCACTTTCGGCAATGTTCAGATGAAAATAAGGTCGTAGAAATGACGGGCTCAACGACACGATCATTTTGACATATGATTTTGATCTTGAAACGAGGTTTCAAACCCTCTTTGAAAATCCGACGAAAGATCATAAACTTGAAATCTTCAATACTCGATCTTGCTCGCTTCCTGATATTTTAGGTCGATCCTTTCATAATAGATTGATGGGCATGCCATCACGGTCATTTTGTGATAAAAATCACTCGATTTGGTTCACGGATCGTCGCTTTCCAAATTGGGGAAGTCGCTGGCAAACAGGAATCCAGTTCACTGAAAAATGTACCTTTTGTAACTTCAAAATACGGTGTCTTTTGGTCTTACATCACATATTATCGTTACCTCAAGTCGAAGCCCTCGATGTCGTGGTCACAACGGACCCATTTTCAAGACGATCCGATGTCGAAGCTTCATGATACGGCCACTTGATCAAAGGGGTGTCTCTCTTCCAAAAATTCCGCAATACACGAGTTTTTTAATGTAACTTCTCTCTAGGATTTCTCTCGTCATGGACCTCGTCATGAGTCGTGCCACAAATCAAAACGTGCACATCGACAAGACGAAGAACCCTCTGAAATTTGGACTTGATCAAGCTTAAAACGGAAAAGTTATGACCCTTGGGAGATAATCCCGAACTCATAAAGCATAGTTTCCTGGAAACTGGGTTCATTGAAGCTGCACCAGAATTGTGTAAAACTTACATTTTTTAAGTTAGTCGGCTCTAGAATGGTCTAAAAGCATCCAAATGAACTAAAATTTGACATATGGTGGTTTTTAGACCTTCTGGATCCAAAGGACGTGGTCCGATACTCATATGTTTCTTGATAATACGGTTGTAGTAATGAGGAACTTTGTCAGCATGTTCAAAACTAGAATTGAGAACTAAGTTTTCTTCTAATCTACCTTAACTTTGTCGAATAGCGGCGAAACTTTACGGGTGTCCTTAGGGCATCATTTTTTAGACCAATTTGACACCTTTCAAAATTCACTCACAAATCAGGGCTTACCGCAATCCACAGGCACTTTGGTACTTGTAGGCCTAAGTTACAACTCGCTTCTTCTTTATTCGCACCGGGGATGCAAGTGTCAAAAAATACCCTACAACGTGACCAACTAGAATTCAAAGCATGCCTTCAAAGTAATGTTCAATAACTCGGCTCCAACATCGGAGTCAACCTTTGCCCAGGTTGAGTTACCCGGCTGAGTCAAAATGGACTTAGCCGAGTAATGTATATATTTAAAAAAACCAAATAATGGAAGAAAATGTAACAAGGGGAAGGGCATGTGAGAGAGAGAGAGAGAGAATTGGCAAGGAAGGCCGGGCAGGCGATTGGATTTCCATCGCCTTTGAGGGGATGGGGAGAGAGAGAGAAGAGAGAGAGAGAGAGCCATCTAACTGCCTGGGTAGATGGGTACATGGCTCAGCCACTAGCCAAGGCTGACTAGACTTGGCTGAGTTGTTGTACACTGCTTCCAAGTAGATGGGTACATGGCTCAGCCACTAGCCAAGGTTGACTAGACTTGGCTGAGTTGTTGAACACTGCTTCCAAGCAAGAATTGAAGTAACAAGGTTCCACACATGCATTACGCTTAAACTAACACTAATATTCAGCAATCTTTTTATAACATCCAAATGTATCTAGGTGGATTGGAGGTGATAAACGGGATGTTGAGCGACTGAATCTGTGTCCAAGCCCTACAGCGAGAGAGAGATCAGAAAGAAAACATCAGAGATCAGAAAAAACATCTATGTGCATAGAAGTTATTTGTCATGTTTGCTAGTCTGAAACCATGCAATGACATCGATCAAACATTACACGGCACCCTATGCTTATGGAAGTTTCAGCTACAACATGGTCCAAGGTTCAACATTAGCAATTTCTACAGTTTGAGGCATGGAGTTGTATCCGATAATTAGCAAGGCTTTGAAAACAGGACCAGAGTGTCCAGTTCAACCACTTGACCTGGGAACCAGACAGAAAACCCATTCAAGGTTTTAAGAAACTCATTTGAATTTCAGATGTAATAAATTTTCTTAAAAATTTCAGCTGAATACCACTCTCAAGATGCAATGCAGTCCATTTTGATGCTGAATAGAGCCTTTCTAATCCAAGGACAGCTTCTTAGCTTATTTCTTCAGGTATTTGGGGCCCATATTTATGGTTTTCTTGTTTGGGTTTTCCTAAATGAGGCTTCTTCTTAATCTGTATTTTCATCCAACCAAATACTTTCTTCTACAGGGAACAAAACGGACATAAGCCCATCCCCCAAACTTTTCTAAGATGAATAGGGCAGAAGGTGCCTAATTTGAGTAGCATCATATTTGGTTATTATTGTTTAGTGCGAGAAAGCGACAATGAGCAATAAATAATTTTTACCCTTACAATATAATAAATCTTTCCTGCTTCTCACAAATCACACATTGATACCAAATCCCTAAAGTTTCGCTGCTGCACCAATCGTCCATGTTCAAGAAGTAACATCCCAAGCAAATGTTCCTGTGAAGGTCTCTAACCAAATACAAAACACAAAAATAAAAAACAAAAACAAAAAAAAACCCACAAGAAGTCCCTTACAAGGGCCTGTGCTGAGAAATAGAGGATTCGTTTAAACATGGTTCTCCATATCCATGACAAGAGAAAATCTAAGAAAGAATGGAAAGGCAAACAGGTGTATTCACCAAAATGGGGGGCTGCAATACTTTTCGAATTTGACCAACTTAACAAGCATTTGTTCAAATTATACAAGTAGTGAAAACATTTTCAAAAATTAAATACAGGTAATTAGATGTTCAAAGTAAATATGCAACAAATACAATCTTACTAAAAAGTTATTGCAGTAGAGGATACCTCACAATGATGGCTATCAACCATTGACCGTGTCTTCCTCCTCTGGTTTGACATAAAACTCTATGTAGGCAACTCGTGCAGGAGTCTGATATCCACCAATATCAACATGGTGATGGACGCCTGGTCTCACTAAAGCGACAAGATGCTGAATTTTTAGTATCCCACCTCGCCCTATAGTCAACTTGCTTCCTCTATTATCCTTCAAGACACTACTCGGAATGTTTGAAGTCGTAGCACGGATGAACTTGTACTTATACCTGTATATTTCTTGCAAGAGAAGCGCTATCAGTAGTAAATTGAACAAGTGCAATACATGTAGTGTAATATAAAGAAGTACCTGTGCGAAACTTGGTGATCACACTGGAATGCAACTAAAACATCAGTACGTTCATAATGCAAGTCGATCTGCAATGAAAGAAAACTTTTTCAATTATGAACAAAAACTTAACTTGAATACATCATAGCTATTGTGACAGCTATCAGATTCCACCTGTAAATCACCATGGCCTTCACTTCTAAATGAAACAGAAGGTGGAACAGGGTTTAACATTATCTGGATGCTTGAACCTGGCCATTCAAGATCATCAATGGCTTCCTTCAGCACTGCAGACTATATGTGTATTAATGTTAGTTGACTGCAATCCATTGTGTCGACCAATTTTGAGTAAGATAAATAATTACTATAGAAATAGCTTGCAATAAGAATGTGATCAGGTTACTATTTCCGAACAGTCCAAAACTGCATGGCCACCTTTACTGTAAAACTGACAGGAAGCGTGACAGTTGTCTCAAAATTATCCCATGAAATGGTTTCTGGAATTCGTGTCCTTATCTCCGCATAAATGCAAGCATCAACAGGGTCCACTGACCTGGAAATGCAAAAAACGGAAAATAAAATCAAGTTATTCTATATAATGTTCAAAAACAAAATGCTAGGCAGCACCTTTTTTAGTTTTTTCTTTTTTTGGAGGGGGCCCCTGACAGCCAAACACAAGCGAGCACGCGCACACAGCCACACATACACAGATTTTATACACACACACGCACACACGTGCCGAAAACAACCTGAAATCAATGAATTACATTTCACAATTGTAATAAATCAGTAAATGCAAGATTAAACTAGCTAACAATTGCAAAAAGTGTAAGACAGTAACAATCACATATCCAAAATCAAAATTGTCAATGACATGGAAAATAAGTTTGCTCATAGCTCCATATCAAGTCCAATACCACATAAAGTACTGAAATACAAGACAATAGCCACAAGTTAGTTAAATTTAAAATGAATCTATCAAAACAAAAAGTTAGATATGAGATGTATCAAACTTCTCAAATTCTTTTGATCTAAAAAAATTGAAATCCTCAAATTTTGTTGTTTTTTTTGTTAGAAGAACCAAAAAACAACTTTTGGGGGCTTTAGAACTCCTACGGCACCCCTTTCAACACCCACACCCCCCCCCCCCCCCCCCCCCCGTGTCCGGAGCATCCATTAGTCCACTCTTAAACTCTTAAAAGGAGGAAATGACAAGAATAGCCCTCTCAGCCCTAGGGCAATGGGCGACAAAGTAACGTCTCAGCTTAGCACAAGGCTGTTGCATAGGACCTAGGGGCATGGCATCCGAAAGGTCCTAGGTCTATGGAGGGTATGCAGCTGCCTTAGCGTTAGGCAGGCTGTGATTTTCACAGAAAAACATTATATAACTGGTTAAAAGAACCATAAGTGATGTATAGGCATCTTATTCTTGAACCCCAGATCATTGAAATCATATATTTCCCTAGTGCTTTTAGTTACCAATTCCTTGGACGAACAACTAGTAAATGAGGGCACTCCATACTTGCACTCTCAAATTGTTTGTTCACATGAACACATGAAACCAAGAGATGTTGTTGTTGTTCTTGTTGTTTCTTTTCTTTTCTTTTCTTTTTTTTTATGAAACTGTTAACCTTGTATTGATGAGAAAGTATACATTGTACAAAAAATGGGCAACCCACAAGTTGGATGCTCCATACAAGAATCCCCCCTCAAAGGAGTATCCAAAATGCTAAACAGCAGCACTTTTAGGTACAAAGAGAGAGAAGATCCAGGAACTTAAGATGGTGCTACAAAAACCCCGTGTCGGTGGTGTGATTCTGCTGCTTTAGCCAGGGCATCTGCTACTGAATTTGCCTCACGTCACGTGCGACGCAATGAAACGAGAATAGGCCTACAAAGATGGAAGATCTCATCGAAGATGTGAAGCAACCTCCAAGGCAAGGGGAAGAACGAGAGGCCCAAGTGATGACATTTCTGCGTCCTCCTCAATGATCAAAGCTGGGCCCCAATTCAGGTTGAAAATACATAGGCCTTCGAGAAGCGCGATGGCCTCTGATATGGTGGAGTCGGCATGGCTGATGGGTCTGGAAAAGGAGGTCTGCGAGATCCTGAGATGGTTTCTAAAGATGCCACCAATCCTTACTGTGCCCGGATTGCTGAGGGGCAACCATCAAAATTCAGCTTGCATTGACCAGGACCAGGGGTCTCCAAAGGGAAGCTCAGGCAATATGAGCAGGCCTTAAAAAGAGCAAGCTTCACTAGCTTAGAAAAAAATCTGCATAGGCGAGATGTATAAAGAGGTAGTGGCTCTTGGCCCAAAAGATAACTAATGATCTTATCTGGGACTTGAGAGCCTCAATGGTTGACCTTTCTACAAGAAAGACTATGTTGTTGCACTCCTCCATAAAACCTATAAAGTGGCTGCAATTGAAACGCGCTGCTTGATTTCGATCACGGGACAGGGTAGAAGAATTGGAAAAGGTGAGGGATAGATCTCAGGGTCACCCAGGACCAATTAAACAGTTCGAGTATGTCTCCACAGAGGTCATGGCCACATCACAGTGGATGAATAGGTGCGTATTGGTCTCCGCATCCGCTGTACACATAACACATCTGTTGGGGATGGGGACACCCCTCCTATGAATCTGGTCGACAGTGAGGGACCTTCCAGAGAGGGCAAACCAGGAGAATACCTGAATTTTTGGGGGGGATGAATGAGATCCATGCCTTAGTAAGGATGGGGGAAGAAAGGGATGGGGTAGAAGGGGGGGGAGTATGTTGTAGGAGGAGGAAAATGAGAAGTGGCCTAAGTGGAAGGGAGTATGTTGTAGGAGGAGGAAAATGAGAAGTGGCCTAAGTGGAAGGGGACTAGATTAACTAATCCTCTCCATCGGGAGAGAAAAAAGTTGGGTGAAGAATAGAGGATAGGAGGAGGAGTTCTTGGCCTCAGGTTGTTTAGAGGCCTACGGATGTTAGGACTCACGAAGAGATCTGCTACAGTGCCTTCCGTTTTGACTGTCACTTGGATAGAAGACAGAAGAGGTCCCTTGGGGGAGAATTGCCCACCCAAATCTCATGCCAAAACTTGATCCTGTTGCCTGCCCTGGATGGAAGCGAATATGGGTATGGGAGCATAGTAGAGATTTCTAGACCCCAGAGGATCTAGAGGTGGATCTGGGATTAAGTAGCGTATATTGGAGCACCTCGATCCACAGGTTACTATCCTGGGTGAGAAAGCACCACCACCACTTGCCTAGAAGGGCCAAGTTGTTGGTTCTAAGGTTGTGAATTCCTAAGCACCCGCAGTATCTTGGTTCGCACACTCTTTCCCAAGAGATGAGGTGGAATTTCTTGTGCTCGCGATAGCCAGACCACAAAAAATTCCGTATGAGTTGCTCTAGCCAGTTTGCACCTAAGGCCGGACATCTCGTAAATAGGGATGTTTGAGAGGATTGCATTGATGGGCATGAGCCCACCAGCCAAGGATAGAAATATGCCTTTCCCAATGGCTAGTTTCGGATAGAAATTGTCTATAATATGACTCCATTTTTGTTTTTTAGGAAGTCCAGTACGTAGTGGAAGGCCCAGATAGGTGGATGGCAGGTTGTCGACTTGGCATCCCCACCTTTCGGCGAGAGAGGAGATAGATTGGGCATCACCATATACACCAATCATCTTGTATTTAGCCATATTAACCCAACAACCAGTGGCCAACTCAAAGGATTTAGGAAAAAGTACGAGGGAATCTGCTTGCTGATAGGTGGCCCCACATAAAAGACGGTGTCGTTGGCCCCACATGACCAGGCATCGACTCCCAATTTTGAACCCTTCGAGCAGTCTGTGTTGGTTGCATCCTTTCAATGGACCTGCTCAACACCTCTGCTACCACAGAGAAAAGGAAAGGGGAGAGGGGATCCCCTTGACAAAGACCTCAAGAAGAAGGGAAGAAGACTCTTGAGGAGCCATTGATAAGAATGGAGAAAAACAGATTTGAGATGCAACCTTTAATCCAAGTCCTCCAATGCCTACCGAAGCCCATTCTGCGTCAAGTTTCATCTAAGAGATTCCAATCCATATGATCATAAGCCTTCTCCCAATCAACTTTGATAACCACTCCAGGGATTCTAGCTAAGTGTCTAGAGTGAAAGCATTCGTTGGCCACAAGGGCTTCATCGAGAATCCACCTATCCTTGATGAAAGCCCCTTGATGGGGGGGAGATGACCAAGTCTAGGACCTATTTAACGTGAGAGACAAGAAGCTTGGATAGGATTTTGTAGGAACTACTGATGAGGCTAATGGGTTTGAAGCCCTTAAGTTTTTCCACACCCTCTACTTTAGGAACCAAGGCTATGAAAGTGGCATTCATGGCTTGTGGATAATGCCTCTAAATGGAAATTCCTCAAAGAAGGATAGGATATCAAGATGCAGGGACTCCTAGAAGGTTTTGAAGAGAGCTAACAGGAAGCCGTCTGGGCCAGAGGCTCGGTCCTGACCTAAGTTGTTCATGCCTTTGAAGATCTTGTCTTCGATGAAAGGTCGTTCAATCCAGGTCACTTTGTCAGCAGGAATGAACCTAAAGGGAAAGTTTGATGTTCCTTGGTTTAGGGCCCGAAGGAACAGAGAAGTGGTTTCTGAAAAATTCGATGATTGCCCCTTCACTTGAGAGGGCTTGTCGAAAATGGAATCTACAACTTTAATCGGAGAGATGGTATTATCCCGCCTTTGACAGTTGCCAGTCTTGTGGAAGAACGCAATGTTAATATCTCCATGTTTCAGCCATTTGATTCTCAATGATGATAACCAGAAAATTTCTTCCTTTCAGAGAAGTGTTATTTGATTTGGGCTTGGGTTCTAAGGGGCCTCACTTTGGTAGATAAAGGTCAGGTTTCTTACAGTTGGAGCTGCACTTCTTTATGATATTCATTGGGATATGTCTATTGCAGGCTTTCAGGGATACCTTGAGGAGGTTGAGTTTGCGCTGGAACCGGTATCCGACCCAACTGTGGACTTGATGGGCAAAGGACTCCCATCATAAGGAAATAAGGCAGAGGATATTGGATTCTTCAAACCACAAAAGTTCAAAGTGAAACGGTTTAGGCCCTCTAAGGGTGAGATGAGTGTCGAGAAGCAAGGGATCTATGGTCAGAAGTGAGCTTGAGTAGGGCTAGGGCGTTAGAGCTAGAAGGTGGCTTCCCGTTCCGGACAAATAAGGAAGTGATCGAGCTTAGAGAGGATGGGGGAGGCTTTGTGGGGGGAGGCTTTGTGGTCTGACCAAGTGAAGTCAATGCCTAGGAGAGGGAAGTCGAAAAGGTTGTGCCTGAAGACAAAATCTAAGAGATCAAGCGTGCTACAAGAAACGTTGGGATTGGAGTTCCTTTTGAAGGACCATTTGGTCACATTAAAGTTTCCACCAAAGCACCAAATTGGGTGTGGTATTGAAGTGGCCCCACCGAGCTCCTCCCAGAAAAGATCTCTAAAGGTGACAAAGTTCAGTCCGTAGACCGGGGAAACTTTCGGGGGAGGCCATCGGACCTCGTGAGGCCGAGTGTGACCGAGAAGGTGGCCATTGGAGCCGAAGAAAAGGTGTGAAGGAACGGGTCCTAAACGACCTAGATGCCACCAGAGGCTCCATGGGGCTCAAAGGCTTCCCACTGGCAAGGTCTCAATCCCCAAACTTGGCGAATAAGATGAAGAATGGGGCGGGGAGCTTGGTTCTGACCAGAGCCAAGATGGATGGTCTATGTTTTGAACAAAATCTTGGACGTGATGTCTTTTGTTGGGGTGTTCGAGCCCAATATTTTGACAAGGATCTTCATGGGAGGGGAGAAGAGGGAGGGGCGAGTCTAGGGGACCACCAAGGTGGCTGGGATTGTGGAATACGACATCTTAATCTGCTAGTATTTTTGAAGCAACACAAGTGCCAACACCTTTCTTCTTTGCTCCCATAAAGTATCAAAACCAAAAATTGATTTTGAATTACTTTTCTAAGAAAAATTTGTTTCCTCTAAGGGAGATATTCCAAACACTAGAATTAATATGTTTTTTGTAGCAAAAAAAAACGCTTGTGTCACTGCAGGATAAATATTATGTCTTCTCATAACACTTCTCCCATCTTCTTTATCAACAAAAGTTACCTCCTTTTGTCATTGATAAATCTCCATCATACAATATTTTGCATTTAGGTGGTTTAAAGATAACATGCATCAGACCATATCCATCTTCAACTATTTTGCTAGGCAGAAACAAAGGAGAAGCAATCTGTCTAATCATGAAATCAATGTTCAAAAAGGCGTACCGCCTAGGCAGTTTGGGCTCTGGGTAACCTAGGCACTAAGGTGGGCACCTAGACCCAAATACGGCACTTCCAATGGCAACACTTCATCTCACGATGATTGAGAGAGGGAGGGTTTTCCAATGTGTGAGGATTTGTTAATGTGTGAGAGCGATTTCTAATGAGTTGCCTCCATCTCACTACGATTTTGAGAGAGAGAGTTAGAATTTTGAGAGAGAGAGTTAGAACTTATTTAATTACTAGCACTTCGTCCCACGATGCGTGTGTGTGTGAGAGAGAGAGAGAGAGAGAACTTTTTGAATGACTAGCACTTCGTCCCACGATGAGACAGAGAGAGAGGACTTTTTTTAATGAGTAGCACTTGTGTCGAGTTAGTTATGCTGTGGGAGAGAGAGAGCGAGGGGACTTTTTTAATGACTAGCACCTTTCACAACGATTTGTGTCGAATGATTTATGTTTTATTTGTTACCCTCTGATTGCTTGTGGAATTTCTAATAACAATAAATAGCTAAACAGCAAATAATCTATTAGCATATCTGGCGAAAATATTAATTGTTTCCTAGAAGGTCGACATGTGGTGGTCTTGAAATGCTGAAGGGCTAATCAGGCATATCCATCAACATAATTAGCCACGACGACTACCTCACCTTTCCCCATCTCTCTCTCTCTC